TGATAAATTATTTATAAAGCTCAATCTATATTCACTCCATTCCAATCTGTTGCTTGAGCATACCCCTTTACACGAATTTACCTAGGGCATTTTCGAGCAGAAAGAGTCTATCAAATCAACAAGAAGTAATGAAAAAAGTGTTAGAATAGTTGCTCCAAGAGTGCGTTTAATTTATTCAACTCTCGATGGACTTTGTTCCACTCCAGGATTATGGATAAAAATTGGCGTTAATTTGCGCCACATTCATTCAATTAACAACGAAAGTTGAAGTTAGCCACGCCCAGTGACCCAATGCGTGTGTGTGTGTGTGTGTTTGTGTGAGGGACAGCGTAACACGCACAGCGTAATTCTTTTCCATTTTTATTACACCTGGAAGACAATCAGTCAGCGCGATGAAGTGCAGTTATTAATTAATCGCAGGTGCGCGACCCCTGCGCGAATATTCAATTATCCTAAGTAATTGAATGCACTCCACGCCGAGTGCATCTGACAAGTGATTAACTGACGGACATAACAGACAGATATAACAGACACACATACCGTTATATATGTATGTATATAGTAGTATATATATGTATGTATGTAGATTGATTTCTTTCAAGGCGCATTCACTCTAATCGAACGTGAATTACTTTTGCCATTGGAATTTCCCATTGCAGTCGCAAATTGAATTCTCAAATATTCCATTTATGTTTTCCAGCCATGAACAGTTAAATCCAGGTGTGGCGCATAATTAACATGGCGCAGCAAACTGTATTTACCTGTGTGCATGTTACCTGTGCATTTATCTATATATTATAATATAGTCAATTATGACATTAGCAGCCATTTCGTTTGCTTGAAGAAAAAGTGGAAGACTTTTTGGTAGATTTTTATCAGAATTTTCATGATTATTATAATTATTTTTCATAAGTATTCATTAAATAAACAGAATTTTCATTTTCTTTAGAATTATATTCATTAATTTTCATTATATCATATTCATATTTGCGTAGAATTATCGCTATCGTTATTATTATTTTATGATAATAATGCAAATAACGTGCTGAATTTAATCATTTATATTCATATGTTTAATATACATCGCTATTATTATTAAGTTGGGTACATGACGCATTATTTATTTAACTTTATCACTTACATGCAAATTATTTCTTTAATAATCATTAACTTAATGATGATTAACTTTTCATAAATGTTTAAGAGCTACAAGAAGATAATGACATTAACATGATAATTAATATAATATAATATTTATTTATATCATTAAATTAATATTTATCTTAACATTAACAAATTATTATCTTAACATATTCTAAAAACTATTTCTAAAGAATTAATCCTATTAGTATATTGCTAGAAGAAGAAGAAGAGAAGAGGAGCGCACAACCAAACAGCTCAGGAATCAAATCAAGCTTCAGACTTGAGTTGCTCTCTCTCTCTCTCTCTCTCTCTCTCTCTCTCTCTCTCTCTCTCTCTTTGGGTAATGTTTGAAGCAGTATTAGTATTGGTGAGAGGCGAATGAGCGTAGCTTTTACTAATACTAAAACTATATAAAAAAGACTAGAAAAATACTGCTGTTTGCAAATGCATAGCTGCATTGCTCTGCTACTCTATACGAATTTATAGCAAATAAATCAGTTAGACAAACAATATTATTTTCATTAGTTTCTCTCTTATATCAGATCATATTTTATTATTTTAAAATCAATTTTCTTATTTTCTCACTCTAGTTATATCACATTTTTTATATTTTAAATAGAAAATGTACTTCATATGCTATCTGTGAGTACATTATTCACTCACACTGTCTTTCTCCTCCTTTCTTTCGGCCTTTCTCTCGCTCTTTCCTTATCTCCATCTGTCCATCTCTGTGCTAGTTCCTCTATGCATGCTCTTTGGCAATAGATTTCCATCATTGAGTTTGCAATTCGAGCCACGTAATTGAAACTCTTGATTTTTCCAATTAATTAAATGGCATTGTCAGTCGCTGATGTCCAACTGGTCCACATTAAGGAGTAGCTCTGGTAGTAGGCAGTGGGTAGTGGGCAGTGGGCGTGGCGATGGCCGTTGACGCGTGAAGGGTGGCTTCCGCTACTGGCTACGGCTGGCCGTAGATTGTTCATTTTAATTAGCTAAATATTTCTGCATGTCCATCAACACCTTCACACACACACACTCACAGAGAGAATTTATGAAAATGTATTTAAATAATGATTTAAATTGGAAATAATTGAAATGCAAGTGAAGCTCATTGGAGCGTCGATAAATATGCATAAATATGCAAATTGTGAATTAACAAATATTAACTATTTGTCTAGCATTATGATTTATGCTGCGTATTACAATCCATATATGTATGTATATAATAGTATTTAAATGTAATAAAAATAAATAATGTGAAATGCCAATGGAGTAAAATAAAATAAATTTATTCATATTTGCTGAATGTGGCATTTGCCACAGGCAGGCTGCGCTATAAACATATTTTCAACTCTTTATATATCAATTGATGGGCTTTAATTTGTCTAGGAAAATAATGCTCTGACAATTATGGCTTAAATGTGTCAATAATAATGGCAACATTGACAAATTGCCAGCCAGATGGACAAATTGGCTCAGGTATCCAATGGCAGCCGTGCCCCACACTCACAGACACACAGACACACTCCCTCTGTCGCTTTGGTAATTAAGAGTATTTTAGTTAGAATTAATGTATTCTGGACTTGCAAACAAATGGCTCCACAGCAGCAGCAGCAGAAGCAGCAGCAGCTCCTGAGCTCCTGAGAAACAGTTTGTTATTTGAGTCGCTCTGCAGCTTAGCCGAGAATGTTGGCATTCGAGGTTTGACCGAGCGACGTGAATGCGGTTAGCTTCACAAGTCAGAAGGATGCAGCTGTAACAAGCTCTCTATACCTGCCTCCCTCTCTCTCTAACACACACACACATGCATATGCACAAAACAATAATTTCAAT